GTGAACCTGTTTTATAATAAAACTCTATTAGAATCTTGTCAATCTTATGTTGAAAATTGGCATCGCATCGTCGTATTTGTTTTAACAAAACTTCCAATCATTCAATAGATGCTATAAGAACGCAAGCATTAGTAACCAGACATTATTAGAAAATTGAGAATTCCCCTTGTAAGGAATCTACATTGAATTATTTAAAATATATTCTTAATTGAATCTTTTACCAAAACGTAAACCATTCATTCAAGATCAACAAAAATATTAATGCCTTCCAACTGGTTATCATACTTACTTCAAATACCAATAATGTTAATTTGTAGCCATTTACTTTATTATCGTTAAGATGTATGGTAATGGGAAATTAATTATTTTTAATAATAATAAATTTTGTATGGACTGCATTCGAAAAACCTTTCATATTATTATTATAGACAGATTCAGGTTTGAAATTTATTCGTCAGTTAAAAACACCTAAACCGCTAAATACTAAATAAAAAATAATAGATCTGATGTCACAATTGGTGCTCAATATAGTTACCCTATTTATTAATTTCCCATTTTGTAATTTATATATATATGAACTATGACGACCTTTTATGTAGTATCATATAAAAAAGTTTTTTTATTACTATATCGACGCCGATATTATATTCGGTAGACAAAAGTTTCGATCACTATAATGATAATAATAATAATTAACAAATTTTGGTGATCACTGTGACCAACCTCTTTATGCTTATCATTTATATTTTTGTTGAAATTAAATATAGATCAAAAACATACTTCTTAAACAACTTGTTTATATTCAATTTTTGAAAAATGAATTCAATATTTAAAAAATATTTTAATGAAAATGAAAGGTTGTTAAATACTGAAGATTTTTATGATGTAAAAATATATGTTGGTGTAGAACCAAATATTAAAGAAGTTCATGCGCATGCATCTATCGTATCAGCTCATTGTCCATTTTTTAACAATGCATTAAGTGATGCAACAAAAGAAAATGGGTATTATATTATTGAGAAAGCCAATATTAGCGAAAAATGTTTCAAACCTATTCTTAAGTAAGTTAATACTCATTTTATTTATTTAATTATTTATTTATTAAACATATAATAATGATAATGGTAAACCTGTTCAATAATTTATTTATTTTGAAAGGTTTTTGTATACATGTGAAATTGAACTTAAAAATTATTCTGGAGCTGAAGTATTAGAATTATTAATTGCAGCAGATCAACTTGGTATTGAGTTGCTTTATGAATATACAATGAAATATTTTCTTGAT